GGAAGACTCCTTAAAAAATATTTTACCACCAGAACTGGAAGCTCCTTAATTCTTATCTTCCCACTGTGCCATTGTTCTGCCATTTTTAGTTGAAAGTACACGCTTTGATGTACAAAAACAAAAACCAGACAGACTGGGGCTTTTATCTTAGATTCTATAAATCCTAGAACAGTAGTTTTCGCCACAAATAGCACACTAGAAAATCCAGTTTTAGCTGCAGTCATACTCACCTGAAGAATTAAAGCTTCTTCTTCCAAAGACTTGTTTGATGCCAGCTCAGGTGCTAGACTGGTTTGCAGTGCTTGGCCTGATTCACTTAGCAAATCTCCCCAACTTATGTGAGTTCTCAGAGACCCTCCTGGCTCCAGGAGGGAAGCCCTGCATGCTGCAATGGACAAACATCTGATTTAGAGCCCTATGGTAGAAATGGGATAATTTAGCTGGGGAATCATCATGCATAGAAGATAACAGCTGTCCATTCTCAGAAGCTCAGGATGGAAGAATTCACTAAAGTTGAGATTCAGACTTCCATTTACACTTCCTATTGACTATTTACACATGCTCTTGACTATTCTTTTACCAATAATGCTATTTTACAGACACTAAGAACAGGTTTGTCTACGTCCTACAGGACCTGTACTGCACAAAGAAGATGTAGGCAGCATTCCTTATACTCTGCCTTACACCAACATCATGAAACCACCTCTTCAAAGCAGGACACTGTAGTTGTTTGACTGTGATGTACCCACCAGTTTTTCTAATTAACAGGTGTTTTTCTGTCACCTGCCAACCCACTCTGACAGGAGCTTCTCTTTCTCAGAAGCATTTGTTTTCTGAAACAGTTGCATCTGGTCTCCTCTTCTCAAAAACATTTCAAGCATGTACTGTAAAGAGACCATGGATTTTCCTGTGTTCCCCAGAATGTTCAATTAGGAAAGTCCTTAAGATCAATGGGCTAAAGCAAAATAAATCCAATGCAGTTTCTTCAGTTTCTGTTGACTTCCTTCATACAAAGTACCAATCATTAAATGACAAAAAAATAGATATTTACCTACTATATTCACTCATTTTCACAGTATTTTAACTCATGTATTTTTAATAAAAGCTTCCAACAGATAAAAAATTGTATCTTAATCTGCTCCTTCTCATATTTGTTCAAAGCACTATTTTTTATTTCTCAGCTGCTGGATCTTAAATTTTCTCTTACATCAGCCCAAGTCATTTGTACTGTTTGTATTATTCACTCTTGAAGCACTTCTCTGACACTTCCTGGTTACAGAGATGGGGTTGGTTTCTAGTTCTTGTAAGGCTGATTATGTGTATATATACATATATGTATATATATATGTATATATGTGCACTCATATCTGTATCAATGTAGCAAACAGATACTTGCCTCAACAGATTTAAATGTTTATGCAATTGAATTTTCATTTGCCTTTTAAAAGCCTGTTTATACAAACTAAACAATGCAAATCCAATCAATGCTGCACTCAAACTGCTGTCACTCCAAAAAAAAACCCCAACAAAACCAAAACCATAATTGTTCTGTTAGAAGACTTCTGAAGTCCCCAGATTGACATCTACAAATAAATCAGATGTGTTTTACAATCCCTAGCATATTCAGAGGGTCTTCACTCTTTCAGCAGTCTTTTAGGAGAAATGATTGCCTTCATCTGACATTACTTCCTTCTTTCTTTCTTCTAACTGATGTCTTGCTTCAGAGAAGAAAAGTATTTTCTGATTTCTTAAAGGCATTCACACAACCAGTGCTACACAGTCCTATGGCAGCACATCTGACTTTATCCAATCCAGCTGAAACCAGTGTGCTTCCACTCCAATCAGCAATTTACTATTTTCTGGTTTTATCCAGAAAAAGGTGACCAAAAGACAACAATAATTTCTGCAAACAGGAATAGTCTAACTGCTAGAGTTGAAATGCAAATAAACATCCTACTGCACTCTAGGGAAAACATTCTAAATTAACACAGCAAATAATCTAAAGATCCTAACAAGCAATTAGGCAGAAACAATGATATCAGAAATATCAGTCTCTTTGTAATACACTGTTTCCACTTACATGAGAATAGTAATTGTGGTATGTGGAAATATAAAACTGGAGTACAACCTCTACCCACAGTTTTACTATACAAAATTAATCTAATACATTTTCCTAATGTTGTACAGGCAGCTAATTAATTGTAGACCACGTAACCATCACAAGATTAAAAATATTGCTTTTATGCAGGTAGTAAACACTGCTTGCTGAGAATATTATTCTATTCAGTAAGAGTGTTTGAACTTAATAACTGCAGGAAAATTCCATTTCCCTTACAAAGAGACCAGTGACCACAATGAACAAGCAGTTCACTGTGCCTTTCACAAAAGGTCTCAATTAAGATGAGGAGCATATTGTACAATCAACAGACACAAGGACAGAGGATCCTCTCACCTGATGGCAGCTGTGACAAATTACTGAAAACTTTGCTACTGAAGCTGAGAAAACATAGGGTATTAATTTTAAAGAGAATATATTTTCAAGGCATTATTTTTGGATTTTTGCCTGAGTGCTGTTTTAAATGCAAGCTCCAAGTAATTTTAATAGAGAATCATTTAAACATATCAAAACACCCCTATAATGAAAAAAACCAAATGAGTATTTCAACTATGTATACATAATTCTGTACTTACTTAATTGCAGAAGAAAACACAGACCTGTGTTTAATTGAAAGATAAGGTACTATAAAGAAGTGTGTGCATATATATAAAGTCCACATTTTTAAATATAATACATTTATTAAATTATTATTGTTAAAATATTATGTATGCACCTTACTTGCATGTAACATGCATAATACATAAAAATCTGTAATCATGTTTGTAAAGATTATTTATATTTTTGCTAGTCTTACTGCATTTCCCTTCTGCACTAGTTATTAAGATTGCTATCTGTGATGCCTAAAAGCCAAAACCAGTGGTATATTAATATAAAGGCAAAAACTGCAGACATTGGTGAAATCAGCTGGTAGCAAATTCTCAGGGCAGAATGTTTCACTCCAACACTGCGAAACAAAAAGTGGTAACAGTCATGCAATCGAGAGTTTAATGCTCAGTGAAGAAGCGATGTCACTCAGCTGAGCGAGGTAATTCCAGGAATCAGGAGGCAGAGCCACTGCAGCAGGAGCACATCATCCTCCCATCCTCTGAGCAAACCATTGTCACACCCAACAGCTCAGAAACTGCTGCCTGCTCAAGCAGCACCAGGCTGGTGCAGGGCATGCCAAGCTCCTGATTTCTGTCTCTGGACAAAGATTCCCATGGATTAAGAAGATGTGACCGGCTACTTGGGTGAATTTCAGCCTATTTCACGATGAAAGGAAAGCCATTTTTTAGAACACTGAACCAAGTCTGGAAACATTAAGCTACAGGTACAAGAGAAACTCACAACTGGGAAATCTTAACTGGGACTTTGAAGTTGTAATACCAATGCTACTATTTAATCTTGAGGGGAAAAAACCCCAGAAACCCAAATAATAGGACTGAAAGAAGTTCAGCTGCTTTGAGATCTTAGAACAGAGAAAAACTAAGAACTTCTGTGATTTAAAAGCCAGCATTAGTATACCTTTCCTCATACATTTACCTCTCATTATTTGCCTTACAGCATTGAAGTCTTTACATGAAATTTCTTCCCTTGTATTTTCCATTAACTTACTATAGTTTGGTAATGGTACCAATATATTTTCTTAGCTCAAAGATAACCTTGCCAGCAGGAATTCTCTGTGTGTTGGGACTAGCCCCACTGAAAGTTGTTGCAGCAAAAGTACCTCAGGTGGATGTGTTAGAGCTCCTATGGTACCAAGGGCACAGCACAAGGCACACCAACACACAGAGGGCAGAAATGATGCACCTACCTCTTCATGTGTATTAACAAAACAAGGACAAGTTTGCAATGAAAATCTCAGTGCTCTTGTGGAATATCTGACTAAACTTAAATGTCTAAGTTTATGAGGCAATTACCAAATCCAAAGTGAGACATTTATACAACATTAAAAATATGAACCTGAAGAAAATTTTTATACAACCCCTTCAGAGCTTTGCCATTCATAAGTACAGCATTACTATTTACCAAAGCTCCCTAAGTCCTTCCAAGTTCTGGCATTGCCTATTGGTCTGGCATTGCATCTTGGTTATGATGGGAACCTTGGTGCTCCTGCCCCAGACATCAAAAGGCATCACTAAATCCCTAGGACATACCTGACAAGCATCCTGGCAGACCTTTGAAGTACTCTAGGTGTTGGAAAACACAAGATGCATTTCAACTGAAACAGGTGTTTTCTTACTGTTTAAATCACTTACAAATACAAAACAGGTTTCACATAGTTAAGAAAAGTCTTGTGCAAGTAAAACAGCTTTTTTTTTTTTCTGTAGGAACAAGTTCCTACTACAACCTAAAGAACCTTTGTGTTCTACGTCCTAATTAAAAAACAAATCTTCAGAAATTTCCTTGTAAGCAACACTGGGGGAGCACTGTAGTCTTGTATTTGAAAATGTCCATCTTGCTAAGAGTGTTAAACTTCACACTATTTTATATAGTGTGAATATATTTATGTATTATATAGTATATATTATAATTATATTATATATTATTATATATTGTATATATAGTAATATTATATATAATATATATTATTATATATATTTCACACAAATTTTGACCACAAGATGAGACACTCCAGCACAGAATAAACCAACATTATGCCATATTTGTCAGAAATTGGGTTGCACATTATGAAATTAAAATTGGAGAAAGCTAAACAGTGGAGAACTGGTCCAGACCTTGGCTTCATGTTCCCCAAAGGATGTCATTAAGAGTGTACAGTTTCACGTCCCATAAATTGTTTCCAAAATAGCAAATGAGTGTTAGACAAGTGTTTCAGTAATCTCACCTGTCTGGATCTAAGTAATAACATGATAAAATAACCACAAATAGACAACACAAGCACAAAACAATCCACATTTTATTGCAGTAGAGAAATTATACCAAATATTAAAAGAAACGGGATTCAAACACAGTGTCTACCCATAAAAAACATGCGCAGTGCAAGAAAATAACATATTACAAAAAAATGACTTTTTGAAAAAAACAAACCATTTTTCAAATGTTGTCTCTTGAAAATTCAATAGTAATTTTCATGCTTGCGTCTTCTACAAAGAGTGAAGTAATCAAAACTAACTGTATTCCAGAGGATAATGAAGCACACCTGCAGAATTAGGCAGTAGTCAAGGCTGACAATCTCAGTTGCTGTTTTAGACATGGTTGTATCAATTCTGCCAAGAACCACTTTTATCTTCTTTGTAGAATGTAGCACTACAATCCTGTAAAGCTCCAACAAAGGGCACTCTGTCGTGACTTGCATAACCATCTTTTCAACTTTTTTTGCAAGTCATCGCCTTATTGCAGTGTCTTGGGTAAAGATGGTTGTTTAAAGTTGAACTGTTGCCTGGATGTTTCCCAGAGCACACATATAACAACCATATATACACTGCTTCTGTTGATGCATCGCTGATTTCTTGTCTAAGATGAGCAGACTTGATTAACATCAGTGGACTTGATCCCATAAGACAGTAACAATCTACATCTTGTCCAAGTTTACAGACCCTGTAAAAGGCTGAGTGAACTCACAAGATCCACTTTTCAAAGTTACAGATTTTCACACCAAATGGCATCTGTCTCTTGTCACACAGTTGTTGACTGCCTTGAACCCAGTGTTACCCACTGAGCTCCTAATCCACTTGACCATTTTTGGTGTAAGATACAAAAACTTTTGAACAAATCCAAACTAAAACACATCTATTCACTTTTAACAATCTTTTCACTGATGGCCAAAACTTTCAAAATTTATTATTTGGTCAGAGACTGTTATTAAACACTTCTCAGAAACACTGTGTTGATATGCCACCTAGGACAGCAGATCTAATCTAAGACCTAAATCTGAGAATTTGAGAAACAGCATGACAGGTCAGTGCTGTTCCACAGGGAAAAGGTCTACCCAGCCACAGTCACTGCTGGGAAAGGCTCATGTGGAGCAGAGCCTGTGTTTTCGCAGCTTCTTACTCTCAGGCACATGGTACAACTATGTCAAAGACAGTATCTAGAAAACAAAGCAGATGAAGGAATGGAACTCTGGAGAAGGAAACAAAAGGCCCTGAGGCTTTCAGATGTAACAGGGACAGAAGAATGATGGGAGACAGCAAAGATCAGCTCACCTACCCTGGACTGGGCCAACAACTGGACCTTGTGAGGGAAGCTGGATCTGTTCTCAAACGGCAGAGGGACTCTGTGATCATTAAGACTATATTAAGTGGAAATGCAAGTCAGTGTTATGGCCTTGTGTAGAGAAAGGGCCCAATTATCCTTTTATCAGCAAAAAGTGTGATGGCAAATTAAAAAATAAATTAATCTTAGAACTGTGAAATCACATTAATTTATTTGTACAGACTAGCAACGCTTATTTCAGTGCATGCCTCCACAGCACAGATACCCAGAAAAACTTGCTTCTGACTTTAAGAAGAATCATTCACATTCATAAGGAGTCAGAACGTCCTGCTGGCCTTTTAGCAGCATGCTTTTAGCCAAAAATTCTGTAACGATCCAGCTGCTCTTTCCCACTGAGGTAAAAGCAAGTGTAACAATTGTGTCCATTTGCACTGACATGAAACAACCTGTCTCAAGTGGCTCTTCAAAAGGCATTACCATCACCTAACCTTTTTGCTATTAAGATTAAAAAGGAGATTAATCTTATTCTTCAAACAGTTCAGTGTAAATTAAAAGACATAGAAAAAAATCACAATGTGAGAAACTGCAGTCTTCTAGACAATTCTCTAGGAACTACTCTAAACTAAAATTTTATTTCATGGAAAACTAACCAAAACAAACTTTTCTAGGTCTTTTTAATTAGATACAGTCTTGAAAACTATCATATTCCTTGCAAGAAAACCAAGCACAATTTTCTAATTTAACAAAATTGGCTTGTCTTCTACTTACATGCAAGCAAAATATTATAAATGATGTCATTAATATTTTTAAAACTCTCTCCAATGAAAGAAAATTTCTTGTTTGAGACACTGCTTCCATGCAAAAATAACTAATCTCTAATATGAAATTAATTCTCTTATCCACAAAAATCTAGACCTGAAATGTCTTTATTCAGCTCATCCCATATTTGCAATTTGATTAACTGTCCAAGCAAAAAAGTTGGCAATTTCAAACTCTCAGACAAAGCTGCAATTGATGGGTCCAGTGACTAATTGGAATATACTGAACATCTGTGCATTGCAAATTACTGATTGAATTTGAACTTCATTTTCATTAAAGACAAAAAATACATGTCTTAGAATTTGTATATAAATTTGTATATAAAATATTCTGTATTTTTTAAAATTTCAGGTTTGAAGTTACTGAACATCTAATTTAGCCCCTGTGGATTCTGGAGGGAAGAGTCATTGCTTCACTGATTTGTAGTTTTGGAGGGGAAAAAAAAAGTAAAACGCTAAAAACTATGATTAGTATGTAGGATGAGAGTCATAGAAATGGAAACAAAAATATTCATCAGCACTGGAAGCATGAGAGTTTAACAGCATGTCTGAATTCAGAATTACCTACAGCAGAACTCCTAATGTATTGTATAATAGTTGTAAAAATCATCCTCTCTCGCAAACTTTTCTTCATCTTTGTAATAAGGCATCACTCAGTAGTTACAGTACAAGTGGATTTTCCTTTTCATGGTGTACACCAGAATACAGGGTGCAGCCTAGTTGTACACAAGCTCAAATTCAATGAAGATCTGTGTTTAACTGTAGGACAGAAGGTAATTATTTTTTGTGCAAAGATCATTCTGTTCAGTATGTTTTCTTAAATTTAGATGAACCACATTGTATCTGTGATTTCTAGAAAGAAGAGAGAGAGGTAATGGCACAAAACATGATCTGTTTTCAAAGATGACAAAATATTCTAGATGTGCACTCAAGATCTACAGATCTCCAGAAACCTTAATTTCCTGTTAGGCATTAAAATGTTCTGTCATCAGCTGTTAAAACACTATTTGGGAAAAAAAGTAAATAGCTTTCTTTTTTCCTTTGGGTTCCCCCCCATGACTGATGCCAATGGCAAGCCTAGGAAAATTGAACTGCTGCTTGACTTGCATCTATTGCTGAGGGAAAAAATACAAAAAAGAACTGTTAAAAGACAAATTCTAAGCTACATACAGGAAGTTTTAATTAACAAAGATAAGTGAAAAGACTATGAAATGTTTGTCAGTTAATTCCCTGTCTCAAACTATTTTTGCACACATGTAGCTCCAAGACTACTAAGACTCAGACCTTTTCAGCCTGGCATTACACAAACACCAAGTGTTGTGCAAACACTTGCACCACACAGTAACAGCATAAGAATTTGTACCAATTTTCCTGACTTTATTCATCTATCTAAGAATAAATGAATAATTTTTGTAAGAGAAAAAGCAGTATCATAATTTAAGCTTCAGCATAAGTAAGTATGGAAACACATTTTTATATGCTAAACACATGTTCACTAATAAACAACATTACTGTACAATGCTTTCTGTTCCTAGCCTGGATAATTACTGAAGTTCAAGAACCACAGGCAAGGAGATGTAAAAAGGCATTTTTGTTTAGGCTTCTCATTCAGAATTCCTTCAGTAAGGAAACATGTCTTCCTTACAATTCCAATGAAGCGTCATGAAAATTAGGTTGTCAGCTTAAATAGGGAAAGATACATTTAATTTACATATGTGCACTTATTCCCGTACTTCAAATTAAACAGGATAACAGCATAAGAACTTTGACAAGTTTCTTTTTCTTATACACAGTCTTATCTTGAATGTGAACTCTGTCTCACTGGACACTCCTGCTTTGAGCAGAAATTGTCCCAATATGCAGAATCCTCAGGTGTGACCGGAATACCAGATGCAACTAAATCTTCAAAAGTCAATAATGTAAATTGTGGTTGGTTAGGCTCCATGGAATGGACCTAAAGAAAACACATATTAACAAAACATGGATCAATAAATATAAATTTTCTTCCTGCAAAGTTCTGTGTCATGTTTAAACTACACATTGCTTACTGGAGAAGAAAGAGAATATTCTACATTTGAGACTAACATCACTTCCCCTCATTTAGGCTATGCAGTAACTATTAGAAGCACGTAACAAAGCCACACAGAAAACCTGAGTTTTTTTGTTGAAACACAGTTCACAAAATTGATGGAACAAGGGCTATAGAATGCTGCAAGTATGACAGAATGACTATTTAAGTCGAGTGAAAAAGAAAAAGACCACCATCAAACAAATTGTACTTCATTTTTCAGCAGATATAATTGACACAAGTGTGTGAGGATTTATTCCACTAGGTGTGCCTATCTGTACTCTTTCTAATACCAATAGTCACTGACGTTTTGCGTGCTTCTCTCAGATCTAAGTGCTACTTAAAAACTAAAGTGGTCACAATCAACCTGCAATTCCCTGTGTGAAATCCAATTAAATGCAGACTGCGATATTAGAGATGACAGTGTCACAGTCTCCAGGTTAGTTTCATCATGCCAAGAAAAAAAAAAAAATCACATTTTTAAAGAAGAAAAATATTTGGTTTTTTTTTCCTTGAGCACACTACTGTGCAGCCTGCTGTATGCAGTCTCCAAATGTAATTGTTTCCAGACAGCAGGGCAGATAGTACAGCTTGCATGAATCAAACATAAATATAGCTGATTCTTCTAAATGGGAATTCGCTGGAGTGACATATTCTTAATGTTTAGTATTTCATAAAATTCAGTAGGGCTCCTCTGCAGTGGTGTTACTCAGTACATCAGACAAACTGACTCATTTTTGATGAGTCTGTCAGGGTCTCTCTCTGTGGCAGTACAACCCTCTGGTGTATCATCCACTCCTCCCAGTTTGGTGTCACCAGCAAACCTGCTGAGAGTGCACTGCACCATCATCCAGGTCATTAATGAAGATATTACACAGGACTGGACCCAGTACTGATCCCTGGGCACAGCACTGGCCTCCAAACAGACTTTGCAGCACTGTCAACACAACCTGGGCCCAAACATTGAGCCAGTTTCCAATGCACCTCACTGTCTGCTTACCCAGAACTCAGTATTGTTCTAAAGGATCTCATGAGAGACAGTGCCAGAGATAGATGGTACTGAAATATGGGTAGAAAATTACCCACTGCTCTAACCTCATCTACCAGGCCAGTCATTTCACTGCAGAAATTTACCAAGTTGGTCAAGCATGATTTTCTTTTGGGGAAGCTATGCTGACTAGTCCTGATGATTTCCTTGTCCTTTCTGTGCCTGGAAATGGTCTTCAGAATTAGCTGTTCTGCCACCTTTCCAGCAATCATGGTGAAGCTGTCAGACCCATTGACCGGGTCCTCCTTCTTCCATGTTTTTTTCCAGTCTTTGGGTACTTTTTCCAGTCCCCATGATCATCCAAAGATTATTGAGAGGGGCCTTGCAATGCCAGCTGTATCCCATAAATATTCACTGACTTACACCCATCCAGTTTGCTCAAGCAAACCCTCTTCCTCCAAGGTCACATCCTCCTTCCTTCTTCCTCTTTCATCCCTGCAACCTGGGATTCCTGACAGCTAGCCTTGCTAATAAATACTGATACAAAGGTGGCATTCAGCACTTCAGCCTCTTTTAACATTTATCTTGCTGAGCAAAACCTCTCCCTTTGGCTTCTTTGCATTTACAGAAGTGTTTCTTGTTTTGCTTTGAACATCCCTGGTCAGATTAAATTCTATTTGGGTTTTAGCTTTTCTAACTTCATCTCTGGATGCTCAGACAATATTTCTGTATTCTTATGTTACCCATTCTTGCTCCCACCCTCTGTATGCTTCTCTTTGTATGTCCAAGACTGGCTACGAGCTCCCTGTTCATCCATGCAGACCTTCTGGTCTTTTGCCTGACTTCATATGCAATGAGATGGAACTCTCTTGAGAGTGGAGGGGATGATCCTTTTTTGCCTATATCCAAGTGCTGGAGGTGACTCAGTCCAAGGTCAATTTTGAGGATTTTGTTATTCCTTTCTGTCGTATCAATGAAGATAGGTCAGTAAATAGGCAAAAAGAAAAATTTCTCCAATTCAGTATTTGAGCAGTAGGTTAGTATTAGGAATAAATGCAGAGAAAACAAAATGGTTTGCGCTTGCTGTAACAGCACAGAAAAACTCTTAGCTGTCAATGCAGACTGAAAGTAAATGAGGTTGAGTCGCCTCTCCCTTTATGTCCTCACACAAGTGACGTGGTGTTGAGACATTTCTGTTCATCTGACATTTTGGAGAGGTAAAGCTGGAGGAATGGTGCCTAGAGCCATGCAAGTGACATTACAGATGCATACCAAATATGAACGAAGCCTCCGAGCTAAGTAGTTGTTAACAGATGTAGTTTGAACTTCAGCACATGCTTGTATGAAGGAAATGTGCCCTGACTGAATGCAGCACAACTCCTGTGAAGTATAGCAAGTGATAGACAGAAGACACTTTATATCCTACACAGGATTTATTTATTTAAAGAATTTTAAACTCAGCTATCTTTTATTGAGACTAACCTCAGATAAATGTCTAGATCTAGGTTAAGAGCACAGATATATGTTCTGTTTACTCAAGCATATAGCAGTCACTAGCATTTTGATAAGACTCCTGACACTACAGATTTTTAATTACAGTACATTGACATAACAATGGTTCTTTCCTGGGAATTGTAGGTACATACTATCATTTTGTGAAGAAAGCTGAAAAAAGATGTTCTGCAAACAGGCCATAATGAATTATTCCTGTGATTGCAGAGAGGGAACAGACACAAACACTGACAACCTGAAACAATTGGGTAACATTTACACACACATTAAGCTAGAATGAACAACTTCTTCTTTTGACACATTTGGTAATAAATAGACTCCTTTTTATGGTTGTTTTACAAAGAAAGAAGGTAACTTTCATTTCCTCCATGTTCCTGATAGAAGGAGGCCTGAAAAGGCACAGTGCAACAGTACATACATTTTCACTTAATTTCCTTACTCAGAATGAATGAGATCTTGTTCTGCTTAAAATGACCATTCTTCATTGAACTGAGATAATGAAATTTAGGTCATCATAAGTTTAGTCAGTGGACAAGTAAGCCTTTGAGACTCCTCTTGTCATCATAACCTTTTGATATCATGACTATTTTTATTATGATACGTTTAAGGTAACGTATCATGGTGACCATGATGGTGAAGGTCAATGCTTTAAAATCCTGGATTCCTGTAGAATACTTAGGTAATTGTCTTTTGAAATAATGGCCACGTCTTTTCACTTCAGATTTAGAGTTATCAGTACTCCTGTCAGAAGGATAATGTGCAACCTCACCAGGAACTGAAGTATGTCCTGACAAAAAGAATGAACATAATTTCTTTAAAAATATTTGCCCACCAATTTTTCACAATAAATCCCCAGAGGGAGTTTAATATATTTTTTTCTCAGTCTAACCAATGCTAGCTACAAGGTCTGACTCCCTCTGTTATCCATGAACATAGACTTTGTTACCATGATAGATAGTAATGCACACTTGCGTGCTTTTAACCATTCCTATACTAATTTTCTCTTTTTTTTTCTAGTTCCTGGTAGAAACTTTGTATCTAAATAACAGATATTTATTTATCTGTTAAAAATATATATATTGATGAGAACTAGAAAGCCAGAGAAAAATCTGGCAATTTGTCACACTCTCATTTGCTGACTGTCTGGCTGTTTTGGCTACAACTTGTCAGTCTGCCACTCCCTTAAATTTGACTTTTATTGCTATTTTCACGACTGAGGTCTTTTTTACGTTACACAGAAAAACATGAAAAGCTTTTAAGTAGATTTTCTCTTTCTCTCAATAGAGACACCACATGGAATGAAGACTAACACTGCTGTTCTTCCCATCTGTTGGTTGTTGTTGTTTGTCTCAAGGGTTATCTTGTCATAATGGTGTTTGAGCAATGGATCTGCTCTGGGATACACACACTGACAGTCGCCCACTAAAATCAAATTGGTGAGGTGTCATACAAGTTTAGCAGTCCAGATTGGTTCACTGTTTCCATTTCCCTCTGTGAAAACCATCTTTCCCACATGAGTACTAGCAGGCTGTGACAAAAATCACTTAATCTTCTCTTGAATGAACACATTGAATACATGCATTACAGACTTGACATTATCTGTTGCTGTCCTCTGAAACTATTTCTCCTTCACAGACTTTTCCTGAACCAGGCACAACAGAACTAGAGGAAACACTTCAGTAATACTGCTTGGTTCTGGTTAATACTGTGCCTAAAATAAGCCTTCTTCTTGGCCCTGTATGTGAGATGACACACTTTTAGCTACAGCGTAAGTTTATATTCAAATGATCACCAAGACATGAAAGCACTTCACAGTTCCTTACCTCAGAATCCTTCTGTACAAATCCCTCCTGTTTCCCAAGCGCCACTGCAACATGATGATGGTCATCCAAGCGGGTTTCCTAGCAAAGATGAAAAATGCCAATGTAAATGTATTTTCTTTGCTCCCTTTCCAGAGGATAGACTATGTAAGTGTTTAGAGTATGGTTCAGAACAATAACACAAGATCATTCAAAATACTTTAAAATAATGACATTCAAAAAGCAATAGTACTTTTTAGCAGTTTTGTTGGAGAGCTCAATGATGCAGACACATTAAAATGTTCACAAGGGCTGAGGACAGATTACTACAGGTTACCATCACCATTGTATCACCATTTGTAGATATTTGTATTCAAGTTTGTGATCTGAGCATTCCTTTACCAGTCCCTTCTAAATCTCAAACCATATAAACCATCTTAGCCATCCTTTTCCAGTGATATGAACTGTGAACCTCTAGAAAGTATTTTGAAAAACAATAATGTCAATGTAAACTTAAAACAATGACTCTCTTCTTTTTGGCTTCAGACAGCATGTAAGAGCACAACTTTAAATTCCTGACATAGTCCGAGTACTGCTATGTGTAAATACAAATCATCATTTTTAGATGTGTAACTATATATTTAGTAATATAATTTTTACCAATTTAATAGTTCAGTTTGAAAGTGGTTTTTTCTAGAAAGACTACAAATGTATCCTAAACAATTTCAGGAAAAAGAACCCCATAGACTTCTAAATAATGCTTATACTATAGCCAAGACATAATTCCATTGACGTTTAAAAATTTCAAAAATACTAAAAATTTAAAAAATGCCTAGGGGGAGGAAATAAAATTTTCCCTCCTTCTTTATTCAAAAGTTTTCATGTAATTTCTGCACACTTTCTAAAGTAGAAATCAAGAATAACAAGAATTTTACCTAGTAAAATGATCCATTTCAATATTGCCATTAATCTAAAAATTAAAAAGTCTTTAGAATATTCTCCTGGGATATAAGACTGAATCTCCAATTTTATCTTCCTTGGGAAATATCCTAACTGCACTATACTATAATTTAAACAAAGCACCATGATATCCTCCAATTTCCTCTGACAGGTTGTTGGTCTCCTCATTTTTCTTCCCTTTTAATCTAAGCAAAATGTCTTTTAGAACAATGGTGATAGTGTGCATCAGGCTTTTCTACAGTTCATCTACTATACAGAATTTTCAAAGGCTTCAGTTGCCAGGATACCATTTCTGTGATTCCAAACCAGCCCTGTGTGTGTGTATATATATATATATATATATATATATATATTTATATATAAGGTGCCAAGCTGCTCAGCTCAGAGTTACTCAGCCCAACTCAGCCAAGGCAGCAGCTGCTCCTGTTGTGTGCAGCACCAGTACAACTGTAAAGTTGGAGGGATGTTTCTGGCAAACTGAAAGTAAGTCAAGCATAAAGAATGCTGTCTAAGAGGTAACCACTTAAGAGCGCACCTTTCTGTAACTTCGTCAAAAATAAGAAAGACTATGAATGCTTGACCAGGTATTGCTAAACCATTTCTACAGTTCTGGGGTGGCAGTGTTTTGTGTTTTTCTATATCCCCTTTTTAATCACTTCATTTATTTTTCTTGCATGTCCAGGAGGTCAAAGACAGATCGGAACAGAGGGCACAATGCAGCATATTCAGCAGTGGTTTACACCTGACATCAGAAGTCTGTAAACAGCTTCAAGCACAGAATTTTCTTTTTGTGAAGTCAATTTATTTTACTTCTTGTTTGGGCACCTAAAATCATGTTATAGATAGTATTTTACATACTGTTAGCAAAATAATATTTTTTTCATTTCAAAGATGCATTTAACAGGTAGTGACTGTTTAGACACAACTTCCCTGCAGAGATCTTCCCCAATGAAAAGTGAATGAAAAATGTTCCATTTCATTTATTTCATGTATCCTCTGTGGTCACAAGAGAGTTTTCAGCATCTTACAATAAAACATAAACTATGCCCTTCATCTATCTTTGCTGTTTCAGAGCAATATAAATCCAAATGAAGTACAGAAAGGAACAACTTTCCTGGCCTTTACTAGTGGCCAGCAAAAACCTTAAGCAATGGAATTAATAAAACATACTGAAACCATAAAAAACAGCAAATCAACTTGCTTCCCTGGAGATATTGCTATACCAGCTTATAAAATTAGTATCTTAAATGGAAATAGATGATTAAATAAAAAGAGGACAATCATACAGAATTCCTTCAGTGTAGTGTCAAGCATCATAAAGTCACCCCAGGACATGTAGAGAGTTTGTTTTGTTAAGATTCCTCTCTATAAACCAGAAAACATATAATGGACCAAAATTTGTTTTTGTCTGCACAGAACAAAAGTGTTACTAGAGCACACTGAGATTTACAATGATCTCGTTTCAAAGACTTGGCAGAATGATGTGTCTGGAATTCAAATCATTATGAATTCACTCAACAACAGCTTAGGATGAATCTGTACCTTCCCAGCCAGCAGAACTGATTGATGAGTGAATCCAGTTGGATTAGCTAGTCCTAGAAATAAAAGTTTCTATTCTTATTTATTCCTGACAATGCAATAGGATTAACTTTTCTTACTGAGGGTGAAATGTGCCAACTACAGTTGCACACCAGCAATTTCTAAGTATGTTTCAAATTGACCCAGGTAATCTCTCTTTGAAATTCATGTTCTGGAAGTAATCTATTTGCATATAAACAAATCAAGCAAATATTTGTTGTGAAAAAATGCAAAAAAAGTTGTTTGTGCAACAGCATTCCTGCCAGGTGATTCTTAATCCCAGAGTGAAGTTTAGGATAAATCATGTTTTTCCTATATAAAATAATTGTACCCACAATGTTGAGGTAGGTATGAAAACAGAAATGTCTTACATCTCAAATTCTTTAATATTGATTCTAGTAAGTGCTATCCAGTTATTCTTCCTGATCAATTGTACACAACAGGGACCAATAACGAAAGGGTCATGAATACATTTAACACTTTGGAAATCACTAAGTAGGAATTTATTTTGCATAATCTCAAGAATGGCTTACATTGGAAAGGACCTCAAAGATCATCCCATTCCAAGCCCCCTGTCTTGGACAGGGACACCTCCCACTAGACCAGGTTTCTCATCCAATCTAGCCTTACACACTTCCAGGATGGGACATCCACATGTTCTCTGGGAACACTGTTCCTGTGCCAAGATACTTCCAGTGCCAATACATTTTTCCATACATAAGATCTGCTACAAATCTACCTAGCTATTTAATCTAGCTATCTTTTAAACTTATATTGACCTCTTTAAATGACAGAACTTGTCTTAACTGTTTTCAACCAACTTATGTTGTTTCTACTCGAATTAACTACCACTTCATTCTTGTCATAGTAGTAGGCAGCTCATCCATAGCAGGCACTTCAAACCACACAGCCTCCTCACTGACACGGCACTATGAGAAACTGGAGTCCTTGACTTTGTTTCAGTGTGTTATCAGTATTATTCTCATCCTAAATTCAAAACACAGCACTATGCCAGCTACTAAGAAGAAAATTAACTGTACCAGAAATGAAACTAGGAAAATTGCCCAAGTTTATTTTCTTCAAAGGAAGTAAATGGAGCATATAGAATTACCCATAATAATAATAATCATCACCATCATCATAATGACTCCATCCTAAATCAACACCCTGACAAAATACTTATCACTCTTCACTGGGCTAGCTGTCTTTTAGTTATTACTAAACAAAGCCACCTTTTTAAAATGAAGAAAGCATGTACTGTCTATATGAATAAAGCATATTCAACACATATAGCAGACATATCTTAAAATTAAATTGATGCTTGTAAAAGAAGCTTTTTTTCCTCCACCTCCTTACAAAACAGCTGAAGGGAATCTGCATAGCAATCTCTAGAGTAAAATGCAAAAACAACACCCTAAAGCTAAATCCTTCCATCAAGATCAAACAAGAAGAGGCTGTTTCTGATCAACTGCCTTCCATTCAAGCCAAAAATACAGGGAGTGAATGAGGGCAAAGATACTTCAAGCAAAACTTCAAGCAAAACTAAACCCTTGGTAAAAATTTGTCAATTACATAACAAAGTAGTTAATTTGGTATTTACAATGAAATAAGCGAAACCTTTTTGCACTGTTCACAGAAAGTTCTATCTTCAATTTGAATTGGCTTTGCTCTGTGAACAGTTACAGGGTGTCCAAATAGTGTCAACTTTGATTTGTTCTGATTCATTAGTATTTCTCTTGACCTTTAAGTCATGACAAGTATAAGATGGTGGATCTTTTCTTGGTCTTTATGAATTTAAATTTATCTTTTCATATTACATGGTGCTTTCTGAGGGAGATTTCAGAATATTTTGTGTAATTTAAATGGATAAAATCCCCTTTATTTCTCCCTTCTATTTTTAGTAAATTAGGCTCTCTTTAAAACTGAAATGAATCAATCAAAAATATGTGATAATTGAATTTTAAACAGTCTTGGCCTCTTTTATAAAATTTCCTTTCACTAAGACATTGTCAGTTCTGGAATGTAGAAGTTGAGGTTATTATATTTTTTTATTAGATAGAAAAAGCTCCCTCAAGTAAACTTGGCACAACAGGAAAAGGCTGTATCAGTAATATGTAATCTTACAGCTGACTCAGTGTCTGCTCTTGCGTGACTCTTTCAGATTTCTCAAAATTACTGTTTTCAACTAAAAAGTTATTTCAAAAATCTGATGAGAGAAAAAACTTTTCTAAGTAAGAAAACAGACAAAATTAAAATAAACTTGGGAAGAGACAAAAAAGTAAAGCAGGGCTTAATTTTAGGCTTTCTGGAGATTAGCAACTAAAAAATATTTTACTTATTAATTTTTATTAATAATGATTTTTAAATGAAATTATATCCCAATTGAGCTTGTATTTTAAGGAACCTTGATATTAAACCTTTTCTTTGAAATACAAGAATCTGCCTGATTATAATGCTGCAGAAGGGCAAGTGTGGAATTGGAGACATGCCTCAGATGAAAACTGCATGAATGTTCTAGCAATAATTACAAAATCGTAAGGAAAATTTAAACAATTAGAAAGCACTTAAGTATTACAAGTAGCTATCTGCATCATCATCTTCACAGGCACATCAAAGACCAAACTTAGGAGTTCCAGAATTCATTGAAGACAGGTGGATGTTCCCTTGGCCATGGCACACTGCAGTAATACAGAAAGCATTCTGGTACAAGACATATCACAGGCTTTCCCAATAACTTCCTTTGCCAGTGTAATTCCAACTAGTGAATTTCTTGACATACTGATATTGCCATACTATAAAGGAATTGAGTAAGAGGGCTGATTTAGTATGCATAGACTTGTAACACAAAACCAAATGTGGATAGGAATGCTGAATGAAGGAATGGACTGTGAAGAAAGAAACTTACACTCTGAAGTTAAACATTACTGGAACAGTCATTCTTTCATACCACATGCACAGGGTACAAGTAGTTTGTATACTAAAGAAAATAAACATACAGCAGAAATCTGTCATTTAGACACCTCTATTGGAACAGCTGTCTCCAACAATATAGATATTTTCAAAATGCAAATATGTATTAGAAACTGAATAATCTTACTGAAAAGCGCACTTGACAGTTTGTTCCATTTTTTGCTTTGTTTAAATGGTTGAAAAAACATGCCTCTGGGGTATAGAGAAACAGGATTATGATTCAATTTGATTTTAAAGCTTGTTTTTTTCAGGTAATTAAATATTTGAGATCATTATGAATCAGAATCATCTCAGCTGGAAAACACTTTTAACACCAGCAAGTCCAACTGTTAGCCCAGCACTGCCAGGTCCACCAGTAAACCATGTCCCTATCAGTTCTTTACCTATATATCCTTTAAACTTTAAACATGAGATGATACTGAAAATTTCTGACCAAATCTGAAAGGATAGATGTTTCAGTGGTAATCCCCAACTTTGAAGAAGGAAAACAAAAATCCAAACCCCAAGACTCAGACTATTAAGACCAACAATTCTAGACCAACTGATGAAGAACTTTAGAATCTTAGACCTGTTTAAAAAATCAAACCTGAATATATTTCTCTGAACTTTTTGCCTACCCTAGGATGACCTTCCCAGAGTGCAGGAAAGATATTCCAGGCACATGAAAAATAAGAAGACATTATAACAAATCCATCTATGGGGTGTTCTTGCAATCATAAAAAAAAAAAAAAAATGCTGCAGATTTATATCCTAAGTTTTGATTAATATAAGCTCAATGGAGTTCTACAGAATAAAGATGTGAAGTTGCAATTAAAGGAAAAAATCAAACATGCAATGCAACCATAAGAAGTTTGAACTGCTTACCACTAGTGAAAACATGTTCTTTACCTCAAATGTCCACTCCTCTTCTTTTTCTCCATCCAGAAACATTTTTGTCTCCTTATACACCTTCCCTATTTCCAGTTGCAATGGAGACACAGTAAATTCAATTCTTTGCAAGTTAAAGCCAATTCCAACTCCAATGGCCTTTAAGAAGCTTTCTTTTAAGGCCTAAAAGACAAATAAAATGTATTTTATTTATACTGGCTGTAAAGTGTTTTTTAAACTCTATTTACTCTTCTATAAACATTACTTCTGAGCACACATTGCAGACAAAATAAATTTAAGACTTATACTACTCTAAATGTGAGGGTAGACTGATGAAATTATCGAGAGAAAAGGTTATCAGCATAGTTTATACCCAGCCTAACTTGCTGCATTCAAATAAACATGCAACTGAAATTACTCAGTGGCACATACAGATATGAATGCTTCACCTTGTTTGTGGTGGGTTTGATGATCTTGGATGTCTTAACATCCTAAACTGTTCTATGATTCTATGCAGCTACAAAATGATTACATTTTCACTATAATGAAAATAATAAATTGTATAAGAATGTGAACATTTGAAGATTTTAAATAGGAAAAGGATTACCCAATGCCGATAAAACATATCCAGCTGCATCCATTCATTACTCGTAGACTTGATCACATCCCACTCCGTTTCAGTAAACTGTCGCTTCATTATGTGAAAGAAATTTGGAATTGAGCTACTACCTATAAATTAGACAGAGATATTTACAGAAATTTTAATGGAACACTAATAATAAGCAAATGAATTACCTCACATTATTACTCTAGAAAAAACTTGTAGAGAAAAAAAAATTTATGAACCAACTCTGCTGCACAATTTGAATTTATACAGCCTCAAAGCAGCAAGCTGATGATTGTTCAGGACAGCATTTTCAGCACTGTCTAAAAGGCAAAGTATTTAACCAATGATGATTTTATATAGACATAAAAAAATTATATTCAGCTACAAAAGTAGCATATACAGTCTCTGGCATCTGACAGCTTCATCTAGTAACATTTTATAAAATAGCATGCTGTTTGTCAAAATTTATCAAGCTATTCTGCCTCCCACCCTTGGATGCTGGGATACAAAAGAAATACTTTTTTAAGCACTTGTAGAAGCTAGTAGAAACTTGCACAATTTATCACATACACATTAAACTATTCCGACTGGATTTACTCTGGATTAAAAATGGGGGTAGAGAGGTGCCCATAATAACGGTAAGAAACATACCAAGGGAAAAAAAGTCCTCCAAAAAAACCCAGCCTCAAACCACCAAACCTTCAAATCCTTAGATTAAGTTTAAGCTTCTTCTAAAAATAATCACAGCTGTGTGGCACTGCAGCGGCTCTTTGGGGGCTACACCACTTTTTCCCACTAGTCTATATTTACCTTGTAGAAGATATTGCAGTGTGTGGTTATACTGATTAATGGCATTTACACAGTACATTGAAATCTATGGACCTTGTTACATACCCATAGCCTATGTTAATCAGTATCCCTGCAAGCATCCAAGTCCAACTGGGTTTACAGGTGGCTAAAGAGACAATGGCAGAAAACAACCTATTTTCTTTAGTAGGGATAATAAAAATCTGAATAGAGTCAATTCCACACATTGAGACAATTTCTTTGATAGGAAACTCATTGTTCTTACTAAAAATAAACATTAATCATATTTAATCCAAAACATTTTCTCCCTCCCAATACCATGCTACGTTGAAGAACCTATTCACTAAATAATTGCTTAAGATGAAGATTCTAACTGTAGTTGTGCCAGTAATTCTTGAGTTGGCTGGGCAAGGAACTTTCCTTTTCTATACTCATGTTCCCCATCCTAAACCAGGGGTAAAGGCATTAAGCCTTCTCCATAAAGTGTTTGTCTTCTACAGGTATCTAGACAGCAAATAAAAACAGGTATTGGCAGCAGTAATAACTGATCTGAACAAATTAATATTACACTAAAACACACATTCAGGTTTTCTCATGATTTCCAAACCATTCTGCAAAGTGTTATCTGACATGAACATCCCACAAGACATGGCAGTGACATTTCAGAAACTCCCTGAATTGCATTTTAAAGTAAATATCTTAAGACAATTTTGTTGAAAGCCGCAGCACTAAGCTAATGGAACGATCCAGAACAATCTAAGGACAGGACTAACTTCCCTCTGGAGTAGAAGAAAAAAGCAACCACAATGTTAAGTATGCTTTGATGAATTACCGAGGCAAATTCTACATCCATCTACTTACACAATCCAACTTCCCTGAAACAATAAAAAATAAGAACAAAATTTGTTGAACTTGAAGAAAGGTATTTTCTGTCACCTCTGTGTTTGTATGACCCATTTTACAATACTACAATCAAATAACTACATTCATTAATACCTGCTCTAAAAAATCCATTTTTTTTCCCCTTTCTCTCTTTTCTTAAATATTTAAGACAACAGCGGTGATGCTTCAGCCTGTTCTTGTGAGTAAAACTACAAAATACTCCAGAATGTCCTGGTGTACCCTTTGTCCTCTATAAGTTTCAGAGAGTTCTCCTCCTTTCAATAACCCAGGACTAACAGAGAAACCACCCAAGACTATTCACACTGCGCTACCTTCAGCATGTAGAGGCATATAAACAAAATGCATATATAGAAGTGCAGAGACAGGCTCCTGCACTGTCGGTCCTGCCATCCCAACTTTATCACATGTGGTGAACATACTTGATGGTTAAGCCATTTAGTACAGCAAGTACTTATCAAACTCATGTGCTCCTACAATTTCTTCCTCATTGTTCACCCCTTTTTTTGTCCTAGGCTTCTTCAACTGTTCAGCTACCCTCCTCAACACTCATGTTCAAATTCACACAGTACTTTCCCCTCCACTCCCACTGTCTGTCACACTCCTCCTCTGAAAAGCTCAGGCACTCTGTCCTTAAGTGCACTCCCTCCCTGTTTCCTTAAGGCAGTATGTTTGCTTTTCTCTGAAGAATGGATCAGAGGACTTAGGACTACTATTCTCCACAGTTACTTGCAGTACCACAGCCTGCTTAATCCATTACCCCATATTTGCTTCAGTATCAGACACAGACAGATTCACAGAACCATGGAGAAAATGTAGGTTGAAAAGAACCTTTGGAGACCACCTGGTCAAACCTTCTGTTGAAAAACAGAGCCTTATGTTGGGTTACCCAGGGCCCTGTCAAGCAGAGTATTTCACCCTTTCTCTGGGGAACCTAGTCCAGTATCCTGCTGCTCTCATGGTAAAGACTTGTTCTATAGAGACAGAACTTCCCCTGAAGCAACCTGAGCCTCCTGCCCTTTGCCTTGTTCCTGTGCACACTCTTGAAGACAGCTATGTACATCTGCTCTGCAGCTACATTTCAGGGAGGCTGTGATTAGATTCTCCTCTTCAGAACTTTTAACTCTTCAGGTTCAACAAGCCCAGCTCCATCAGCATTTCTATGTAAGTCGAGTTCCCCGACCCTCTAACCATCTTGGTGGTCCTTTGCTAAACCCCCTCCAATTTTCCCATGTCTCTCATGACACAGGAGATATGAAGGAGACAAAACTAGAAGCAGCAGAAAGTTTCTGTTTAAATGCTATGTCTTTTGCTTTTAGTTTGATTTAAAAAAAAAAAAAAAAGCCTCAAGTGTACTTGCCACAATTTATAAAAATACTTCCTTTGAAAGAACGGGAACAAGTCCATATAGCAATTAATTATTTGGTTTTAAATTTGTATTTCTAAGGTAGCTCCCCCTTGTCAACTTGTTTCAGAAATAAACTTACAAGTATTTCTTACTTGCCTATGCCAGGAGACAGAGATCTTCAAAATATCAAACTAACTCTTTTTAATGTTGACCATTAATTATAGTGCCCTCTCTGATTTTAAAATACATTTCCTGTTAATCAGCTTTTAAGTACATTAGCTCCTTAAGAATATGAACTGAGTAATCTTTCAAAAATTGCATTCTAGTAATTAAAAATAAAATCTAAACCTGAAGTTAAGTCTCTAAACCTGAAGTTAAGTCTCTTCATTAAATTAAAAGCACACAACACCCTGGAAATTTCAGGAAAAGTTAGGAGAGGAAACAGCAAGTGATACTAGAAAAAAGACACCAATATTAAGCCTGGAAACTAAACATGCCATATGCAGGTTAAGTGTGTGTGTTCATATGTGTGCATATGTGTCTGCATTTTGGATTTTTTGTACAAGCTATTTACGTTAATACATAATGCCATGTTTTCCATTGCAATGACAACTGGGTTTTTGTTACATTTTTTTAAAGACTAGGCAAAAAATTTGCTTTGCATTTTCCCTGTAGAACAGCAATGCCACAGACCAGATATAAAAAAGTGGTTTTAAGAAGAGGCAGGAATGAAGAATAAGAAAACAGACTATATTCTCTAGCCCTTTTTGCAAATGCACTATAGAAATAGTACAGAAATACAGCATAATTTTCCCCCATTTTTCTACCTGCTAAAGAATTCCAACAAGATGCATCAGTAGGAAGACAAAAGCAATCAGAATTAAGATCCATGTAAATTATGATGCTATTAATAATGAAAATTACTACCTATAAGGCTAATACAGAAATCTTCATACAATTTTTTACAAACACCAGGTTAATTGTAAGTCAGCTTTGGAAATACAAAAATGTGTACATTTCACAAAGGCATGGTACAAACTTTTACCAAAAATTATTAAAACCATGGCATGTATTCTCAAAACAGTGAGAAGAGTAGATGACTGACCATCTTCACTTCTGGTTTTATGAATTTACAACCTTCAACTTGGTTTGGTCAGATACAGTATATCTGTAGTATAGTACTAGTATATATAGTAGTAGCTATAAAGCTACTACTGCTAGCTCATTGATCAACTAATCTCCTGAAAAAACACAACAAACAAACAAAACCAAACCAAAACAAACACTCAAAAGTACAAAACAAATGCAAAGAGCCTCTTCACCAACTTCAACTGCATAAAAGATACAGATCAGTGATCGAGAACTAATACTTAATCAATACAACCAGTTTACTTTCAGATGGAAAATGGGTAAAGTGGCATTGTGACATGCCATACATAGCAAAATGAACAACTGAAGCATGAACAGCTCAATCTACCTAATAATGTGAAACACAAGACAGCTATGAAGCTTACAAACTAACCAACTGTATTGGATTAATGTTTCAAGTCTTGGGCCAACCATCCTTTTGGTGTATTTGATCACATTTTACTGTCTCTAAAGGAAACCAAAGTAGCCTGATACAGAGAAAACATTTCTCTGCAACAGATGTCCAAGCCCTAATTGTTTATTAATACCAACTAACCCTTGAACAGATGTTTAGAAACAACACAAGACAAATAATTACAGAGATAAATGACTAACTTACAAGAGCCAGATAGAACATTAATAATGCATGTTTTTTTCAGTCTACTACTTCACACAGCTTTAGTGTGAATTGGAAATTGGATTTAGATTCTCTGACCTCCACACTTCCTGTCAGTATCCTGCAATTCTGCCAATTATATGTATGTTAAACATCCATTCTCATCATGTTAACATTGATGTCTTTTATCTTGGCACACTTCAGAGAAGCACCAACTCTAAAATTCCTGAAAATCTGATATTGCCTCCTGTGAATAACTCAGCATTTTCCAGATTTTAAAAATGGAAAAGTCATAAAGAGACTGAAATAATTTGATCATGTTTGATATTTTTTCTGTAGATGGCATCATTAAGACTGCTATATTAGAGAAACTGCTAATGTTTCAATTGCATTAGTGTGGTTGGGCCTAACAGCAGTGATTAACATTTAAGCAAGCTGCCTTGATAGTCAGTGTAAAATAAAAGGAAGTAAAGAATCATAATGGCTTAGACAGCTCTACCACTAAAACTTGACTGGAAAAACAACAGCCTTGACACATCTATGACTTGGTAAAAAAAAAAACTGAAATAAAATTAAAAGCTGTTAACAGGATACCTCATATAGGATCAATTTAAAGACAAGTAGCACACTGTCTGTAACAGATTTACGCTTTTTGTCATTTATTCTGAAAATTTAAAAAGAATTCCACATCCTCTCAAATTTTGTTCAGACTCCAGAATATTTTTACATGTTCTTTCCATGTCAAACATTCAGCTGGAACATATACTTGCTATTGAAGAGCTTGCAGTCAAACAGATCTGGGTACAAGCTCATAATTTTAGTTTGCTTCTAAGTGGAGAAAAAAGCATTTAAAATACAAAGGGTGTTAATCACTAAGATGGCTCAGAGACCTCAAATTCTTTGAGAAAAATATACTTGCAACTAAACAGTGATAGCAAATAAGAAAACAAGCAATAATAAAATAAGAAGTTTCTTAACTTCTGTGCATCAACTCATACCTTTTACTTGCTGAAGATCTTTCCAAGAAGTTGTATGACCACAGCTAGCAGAGCTCTAGGCAGCCATAATATTTCAGCAAAAACAAAAATTTCCCCACAAAAAATGTGAGTTTAATCAGGTTGTCATTATAAAACATATATCAAATAGTTAAAGCAATCATTGCATTGCCAGAACAGGGAACTCTACCTCCTTTCAACACTTACGAAGTTATGCTGCATCACACAAACACAACCCCCAAAATCTAAATAAACATCAAAATACACTTTCCTTTATAAAGCAAGTCATGAGGATACAAATACAGAGGTAAAAAAAAAGCCCAGATGGTGTCTGACCATCTATAGCCTTACACTACATAGTACTACTAAGCCATCACATTTCTGAAAAGTTTTACTACATTTTATGAAGTAATATACTAGAAGGCCTTTCTACACATTCAGAGATATTGACTGAAATCTTTGGCAATTAATCCTTTGCTTTTAAATTAAAATTTTAAAGAAAACCTATCACTTAACACCATTTACTAGTCCAAGAAAACAAACAAGCAAAACCCCACACTTACTAGTCCAAGAAAACGGACAAGCAAAAAAGAAAAGGAGATTTAAACACAATAGCAGATCTCCCTTTCACAGTTTATCAGGCAGGAAAAGTTAGCTTTAGTGACAGTGTGATTATAGGGAATGTAAGCCCATCTTTAAGAAGCTAACACCACTGCAGAACCTGGGGTTGCATTGGAGTCCAGTTGGTATGGATTACTTGGTATGTAAAATGCTATATTGCGGTGGTAGCCAGTTCTCAGTACCTAAGTCATCCTCATTTTCCACATGAATTTCACTACATGATTCACACTTTATAACATCTCCTTGATCTGACTAATGCAATTTTTTCCTGGGAAGCTCTGTGACCTTAGAAAGCACAAGCTGATTCAAACTGAGCTGGTTTCTCTGAAAGGTTTTAATGAAAGATGTCTCCTCAAAACATCATGTGGAAATGGTCCTCAGTATTGACACTCTGGAACTATGTCCTTCAACCTTACAATATCCTATGTAGTAGTGAACCCAGAAAAGAACAAGAGTTGCATTTTAATGGCAGAAGTTGGAACACTGCACAGAAGCCTTTCCCAGAACATGAATTTCACAGCCGAATGCAATAAAAATGTCCCTTATTTTCACACTTAAAACTTTCCCACCTCTGTCTGTACACCATCCCTCCCTCTTTTCCCCCTTCATAATGAAGTCAAAAAAACCTCACATGATGATGGAAGTAGTATTAGTGTTTTAAATCTGGGAATCAATCACTCCTACATAAAGACATTCTTTAAACACAAATGAACAAAAATAAAAAAAATCCCCAAAACCTTATAAAGCCATTTGTTTGGCTTGCCAGCAGCTGAAAGACTGTTTGTCCCACTTGACAGCTAAAATCCAGCATGTTTTGCTTTGTTGGGCCTTCCCACAGAGAAGAGAGAGCAGTCAGCTAGTCACTGGCGTGTTGTCCTCTCATATCCTTCGCCTTAACATCACACAAATCAAATTCTGCCACTGCAGGAGCTGTCTTTTATCCAGCCAAAATATACAAGGAAAGATGCAAGTGGAAGATAAATGTGCTGCAATATGGCAAAAGCAGATGAAAAAGGAGAGGTCCATAGATGAAAAACTGATGAACTTCAATGGTCTATTCACCTGTATCAGTTGTATCTACTCTTGTAGATATCATCTCCAAGTGTTTGCTTTGCTTTTATTAAATCTGTTTTTACTTAGGAAAGAAAAAAGGAAGATATACAGGCTTAATACAGAATCCAACAAATCTAGTAAACAAACAGGAAAACTATGCAGGGCAAGTAATAATTTTTTAATATATTATAAAATTGGATTTTCCATTAAAATACAACACAGCACATAATAGCTATGAATGCTTAGAATTTTCAGAACCCAATAAATGGCAAGAAAACAGCTACCTATGGAAGTAGCAAATGTCTCCTGACCCTACTTTCCTGAAAACCTGACATAAGAAACATGTCATGTTTATTGAAGAAATATAAAAATATTTTCTTTGTTGAAAATCAGAATTTCTCTTAGAAAGGAAATACATCAGCAAAATGCATCTGAGGTTATTTTTTTTTTTTACATTTACTGAGGAGAGATGTGAAATATTTAAGATAAAATTCTACCATTTCATAAGTCAGTCTAAAAAAATCTGCACGTCTGTCTCTAAAAGACTGTCTCACAACCTTTAAACCAGTAAGGGCTCTAAACTGTAATACCTGCACAGTCAATATCCAAATAAGCTTCTGACAATGCAAAATAAAGTCAGCTTCTGTATTCCAGCTTATGCAACAAATATCTGTATCTGTAAAGCTGAAGTGACTGGAAATGGGCAGCGTTAGCAAGAAACTTCTCAAAGGCAATTTTTTTTAATATCTGCATGGTAATTACTTAACCTTAGTCCTTGGATTAGATTTTTCTGCTACCTTTTCTTATTTTGGAAAGCCAAAATTAACTGTCATTAGTGGAGGCTGAGAAGCACTTTTAGTTTTGTTAAAGAAAAAAAAATCAGTTGTATTTAGCTGTTCACTGTGACTGTATAACTTAATTTCCCAAAACACATGTAATAAATTGTGATTATTGTAAATTCAGCGTGCAGAATGGAAAAAACCCCAAACAACACAACACCAAGACAATCTGACAAGCATTCTTATAGTTACTCTTTGTTCCAATGCTTATTTTTAATAAAAGCTTCTAGGTTAGGATTTTTCTTTACTTTATTGCTAGTTTATCCCTCATTTTAAACATATATTCTCCATATCCGAATCTTATAGTTCTGCATTTTGCTATCAGTTTATATGTTAATAAAAATTGTTTTACTTTGTTTAATTGTTTTCTATTAAAGTATTAAGGATTTCATAAAGGATTAAGAGTGTTTCTTTGGAAAATAAAGAATTTTTCCTTTAAAGAGGATTTTTAATCACAATATCAACTTTCTTTCACAATTTACCAAGCATTGGTACTTTATCAATTACATAATTGTGTAATTCCAGGTTAAAACTGTGTTAGAAACATGAATAAAGCACAGCAATGAAATTGCTATATACTACATATTTGTAAAGAGTATGTTTAAGATGGCTGTTTCTTCCCAGTTACAAATAGAAGAACAAAGAAATGCCTCCCTGTTTACTCAGTGTAAATGCATAGCATCACTGTGATTCTTTAGTTCAACAAGCATATCAGCTGTTTTAATATCTTTCACATCTAAAAATTATGTGCTTGCCTAAGTATTTATAAATTATGACTTCTTTAATCTGTAAGAAGTAACATTTAAATCAAACTCCTGGTTAATTTCTTCATTCCAAGCAGTGCATCTGCACACCTAAAGCTGTAACATTAGCTAATGATTTGCAGATTATCTCTAGCAGTAAAAGATTAGATGCTGATTGCTGCTATGAGATTTACAGAAATATAACAATAAAACCAGAAACAGTTAAAACTTTGTTTAAGGTAAGGGTAAAACACCTTAAGGACAAAAGCACCCTAAAAACAATCTGACTTGGAATTTGTTTCTAATCAGGAAATTCTTATTGAAAAGCTGAAATGCAGCAATTAAATAAGCATTGCAAGTTCAAAAATTTGAACGTGGCTGCTAGCTAAAAAACATGCCAAACATCTTAACTATGATGTACATGTGCCTAACTCAATTAGGCTATGAATACACCAAAATTAACAGCACAAAGTTTAAAACTGTCTGGAGACAAAGCTTTCCTCCACTAGCTAGACTGAAGGATGGTATTTAGTTTCTTCATGTGGGACTTATATACACATGCGACCTGTCTCTGATTTGAACAGCTCTATCACCTCTTCCATTACCTCACCTCAATAACGTAGTAACGAGAATAAAGAGATAAAAATAAGTGAAGTTCTTTTTATATTTCTTTGTCTCAGAGAAAACCAGTTTCAAATAATTAGATGTTTGCACATAATAGCCTACTTTCTTAAAAAAGCATTTATTGGAGTATTTTTAGATCAAATTAATTTTTCTGTGAAATTCAATTGCAGAAAATACACCCTTTTGTGTCTTTTAACAGGCAAACCTAGTATAAAACCAAAATATTAATGAGAAAATCTAATTCTACTGCATGTCAAATATTTAATTCTGGAATAAAATTAAGATTGAAGACGTCTGGATCAAAGTAAATATAGTGGGATAGGTAAGAAAGATTGCGGGCTGATTTTCGAAGATATGGATATGGAACGAACTGTTAAATTATTTAACCTTGCAAATCCATCTAAGCTAAAAAATTGCATTAGTAAAAAGAAATTCACATGCATAGCAGGAAAGCCCTTGAGCCCAAGATCTAAATTTTTTCAAATGCTCAAGGCAATCTTTATTAAGCTATAATTATTTCCTAAGTCTCCAAAAACGTTATACTTTACAGTTTAAGTGACTGGTCAATCAACATCCCACACACCACTCAAACCAAGTAGAGACTTGTTGCAGAATTTCTTTTCCATAAGTTAAAAAATCAAACAAAAGTTCAGTTTTTTCCACAGGTGTTAATGGTACTGTAAGAATCCTTCTCACTTCTTTTTTGAAAGGCTTAAAATAAATTCATATGCATTACCTGTCTGGCCAAATAATGTCCACAGACACTTCTACTAACAAATTTACAGGACAGTGTGCATTTTTCCAAATGACTCAAGAGTGCATCTTAAACTGATCTAAAGAGAAGAAAAATAATCATTGATCTCAGTAATTCTACAAAAACAATTAAACTGAAAGACTGATTTAAATCTACAATAACCTGCCAGAAAACCAAAAGGCAGCAACACACAATACCAAAAGAGGATATTTTCCTTTTCGACCATCACTGCAGTATTTACTTCAATATCTGAATAGAGGAAAAAAGATGATAAACTGTTGCACACCTGTGGAACTTTTGTAGAACTGCTGCTGTTTGCAGTGGCAAGAATAGCTTCTAGTGTGGTTTGCCTTCACCTTTGAATAAGGCTATGTCTTGTAGTAGTTTAATTTCTCAGATTTTAATAATGAAGCACAAGTTACATGGAAAGAGGCAGCTTCTTACAAACAGTAAGTAAAACAAAAATACATGGTATAGATTAGGAATTGACATAAAATGTTTCTGTGCACCACGACTCCTTGTTACAAAGTAGCACACAAACAGCCGACTTCTCAAAACTTTCAGCTGCATGATAGTCCTGTACATCTGCACTGCAGATTTTGCTTGCTGACTGGCTGAGCAGTAAAGGAATATAACAGCTACAGTCCTAGAGACCTCAATCAAGATGCTGTTGGGTAACATCACAAGATAAAGTACTTTTTATTTAAACAAGTGTTTGAGGAATACAAACAAACCTACTGAAATGTACTTTGTTCATAGGGAACTCTTTGTCCTTGTAGGTGTTCCAAGGAAAGAGATTTATAGTGGATCCACCTTCAGAAATATAATGCACTTCACAAGTGCAGAACAAGAGCACCACTCAGTGGAACTATCAGAGAAAACAATACTGGTAAAGTCAGTGTTATCTATTCATAGCCCAGCAACAAAAAAAAAAAGTTGCAGGTGATTCTACTACAACAAAAATCTTCCTCTGAAAAATTTTAAGTGAAAAGATCGTCAGCTTTAAATTATACTCTCTGTAATATGAAGTTCTAGCCTTAACATTATTTACTGGCTCTCTTTCCCACATACAATTATTACATTTCCATTGTTATCTTATTTCTTTTCAAAATACAAATGATAATTACAAAAAGGAAGACATGAGTCATCTTTCAGTTCCTCGAATCAACAGCACCTCCAAAATAACCACCATTTTTCTCTCTCTGGGTAAAAGCACTGAAGCCTGTCTATATCAGATCTCCAAGTATCCCTTAGTCTTTAGACTTCAGAAATAGTGTATAACATGCATCATAAAACTTGTCAGCTTGACATTGACAACATGCCTTTAAAATGCCAGCTACATTTACAGCTGCAGGAAGTACCAGCAGAGGATGTAAGATATCCCCACTTCTACATATATTTTTTTCTATTTTTCTGGTTATTTGGGCCCTGTGTTACTGCAGTCCTGTCAGGTGTGTGCCTGTACCAGAGCAGCCTTACCCACTGAACACAATTCCTGTCATGAAACACACAACAGCTCAGGTGGAGGATTCTCCAAAGGTCTGTGGGGGGGGGGTAACCTGTGGCCTCACACGCTGACCACCGTGTTCAGAGTGAGGATCTACAGCAGGTGGGAGTCACAGGAAGGAGTTCAGACGGCAGCAAAGTTTCTGTGCACCCTAACTAAACGTGACAATCCAAAACGGTACATTTGTAATTATCATTAAAAAAGTGTAAAGTGATCAGACAGAAAGTTATCCAGTCAGGGTTTATCTGCATCTCTACCTTCCCACACAACGTGTTTTGCAGCATAAAATTCACAGTAAAAAACTGTGAAAGAAGATTCTCTAAGAACAGATACTGTCATATCTGGTTAAACATTATAAGAAGATTCTAAAAAACCGGAGTTCCAGTGAATCATAAATCCCAGTATGTTTCTCCTTTAACCCAGTCATGCACCAATGAACATTTGCAAACTAAATGATCTCAATAAAACTGTATTTTAAAATACACTTTGCTACAATCCTATTTTGATCCTGAAGTTCACTAATCTACACAGTCATTTCATGCAAATAAGTAGGCCAATAACTACATTTTGTAAATTTTAAGTCTTTTCCAAGACTCATGTCCCTCCTCATGATCCCCTCTCACTGAGGATTACTGCATGTTCACAGAGGATTCGGGCTGCCACTTGGCTGACACGTAAAATGTTCATACTTATGGGACAACTGAGTAACACAGTCTATGAAGTTTGCATGGGGATGGATCCCATTGTCCCATTTTGGAAAGATATCCCTGTTTCTGCCTCACAGACAGCAAATCCATAATTAAAGTATCTGCAGATGCTGGTATTGCCCATATGATAGAAGGTTTCATGATGATATCTTCCTAGGGTTCTGCTTCTCTAAATGAAAAATATATCTGTACCTGCCCTACAATGCACCCCAAAATAAACGAGGAGCGGATTGAACAGCTAGAAATCCCAAACACAAAATACATTCATACACTCTCTTCTAATTACATTGAAATTCTAAGACATAGATTGATTCTTTGGGAAATGTGAAAATGTTCAGCACTCAAACACTGCAGGATCTGCTTTAGTGACCATAATGCATTACCTGGTAAATCGGTCTTCATAATATCAATGCCAACTTGAAGCTCAGGCTCAGCTGCAAGGACTGCATAATCTCCTTGATGAGAAACATTGAAGTTGTAATTTGAATTGATACCGAGTAAGTTATTGGCCAGGAAAGGTTTTCCTTTTGATGTCCTTTGTAAGTGTACTTCATTCCAAGGTATGCACAGCTCTTCTGAAATTAATTTTCGCATTAGCAGGCGACCAGCCTATGAAATAAAACGGAAGTATTCATACAGAACTATTGTGCTATGTGGTTGCTAGAAAACCACCTGCCTAAAAAATGTTGGTTTATTATCAAGTTGTGTATTTCAGCCAAATAATTTAAATCTCTCCCTTTTATAAAAGCTGTGTCGAGTAAGTTTAAACAAGAGTTCATCAGAGTATCATATTAGCATTATTAACACGAGACAAAAAGCAGTCCCAGCCTAGACAAATCACAGTAGTTCCTTTCTCTACCTTATTTACAATACTTTATGGCATAAATAAAGGTTTTTTTACACCACCCTGAACAGTAAAATTATCTCAACAGCCTTCCTTTCAGTAGATACATTCACTACTTAGGTGCTAGATGAAATACTCAACAGCTAAAAGTGATGAGTAACTCCTTCCAGACTAATTAGCAGGTGGGTATTACTATGTTATTAGGCGAGATTTAAAACCTGAATCATGTAAAACAGCTTTATTTTCCTACTCGTTACCCTGATGGTCTTATGTACACTCTCTCAGGGTACGCTGATCTCGTCTCCTGACTTGGTATCACGATTTGGAAACTGCCAAGTCTTTCAGAGTAACTACTGACAGCAGCCTGCCATCCCTCTTTGCTCCTCAGTGAAGCAGAGCTCCATACGTCTATACGGGCTTTATCTTTTAGCTCTACCTCCCTGAAATGCCCTTGCACGGCATGTTTTCCTACGACAAATCAGGAATTTGGGCAATGCTGGCTCACTGTGCAGAGAGACAACCGCGTCCCCGCTCCCCATGTACCAAGGCGGCTTTGGCATCGCGGGCAAAGACAAACTGGCCGATGCGCTCCTTCTCCTCGGGCTGCACCAGCCTCGCGGCCAGCAGCCACTCGCGGCGGCGGGGCCGCCAGGAGCCGCAGGGTAAGGCCCAGCGCACGCTGCCCANGCATGCGCAGTAGGGGCGCGGACGCCGCTGCCCTCCCCCCGGCGGGCGGGGCGGGGGCGATGGCGGCCGCTGTTGTGAGGCCGGGGGCGGCCGATAACCCTGTCCATGGCACAGGGAACGTAGTTGCCTGCTAAATTCTGCCTCCCTCGGCCCTGTGCGGCACAGGGAGGTGGTTATGCCCTCGGAGGGGGGGAAGGTGGTTCTTTGTGGCAGCGCGCCCCGTTGAGGACAGATGATGCGCAGCCCATCTCTGCCACAGCAGATGTGCTGCTGAGGTGTTGCCGTCAGCGCATCCATCCTGCTGGAGAGCCGTCCAGGCCCCTGGCAGAGCTGTCGCAGCGGGCTGGGCTCTGTTTGCCTTTTTTTGACTGTAAAGAGGAGCTGATTGTCCCAAGAACAGATGCAGCGCTCTGCATCACCCTAGCAGGGTTCTGGCTACTAAGGATCTGTCCGAACAAAAGCCTCTTGTATCCCGTGCTCATTGTTCCGCTAAGAATTCCAATAGTTGTCAGAACTGGATTCCCATGTTCCCTCAAGTATAGGTTATCTCTAAATGCTCAAAAGGTAATAAATTTGCTTGCCCTTTGGTTTTGGAGTTGATCCGTAGCTAAAAAATTAGAGCCTGTTTGAAAATTTACAACTCGTCTTTCTGTTGCTTGCCTTTAGAAATTCTTACACTTCATCCATCCTGTACTGCCCATGTACAAATGATGCAAAGATGCTGAAAATTGCATTATTGCAGGTGTTTGTTACAATCCTCCTTTTTTTCTTCTTGTTGTTTACCATTGCCAGCTCACTGTTAACATAGAAAACTGCTGTTCCTACCCAGGCCAGGCCTTTCTGTCTAGAATAAGTCTCAGTTACAGCTGAGTATAGATTGGTCTTTGCAAAAGATTTTAAACTCAGAAGTAACATTGCATAAAAAAAATGCTTAAACAATGAATCAGTTGGATATTTGACTTTTTTCAACATATTATTCCTATTCTTCTTCATGATTTAGTGAAGAAAGGTATGGCATGATTTTATTATGCATTATCCAAACCCATAGACAAAGTTAACTGACTGCAGAGGAGGATTTAACATAGTCAAGAAAACAATCTCAGGAAAATGCTCTTCACCAGTATCAAGCTGTAGCTGTGGCTTGCATTTCAAACTTTGTATCCTGCGCACTTTGAAGAGGAAATTGTGGTCTTTGTATATTTAGTTACTGATAGATAATAATACTAATGGATTGTGGATCTTACCTAGTTCCAAAAAAAAACGTGGTTTGATTAACAGGTTTGGCTTGTCCATGCTCTCTACTTAAGAGATTTAAACATGTAGCAATTTTTTCACTGGTGGATTAATTTTTATTTTTTTTTAAATTAGCTTCATGTGTAAATGCAAACTGAAGCTCAAGATGCACTGTATAATGCATAATATAATTATGAATGTATTCAATATAAACCCACATCTTTATTTTAATTAAAACATGCTATTATAATAAGGTATGCTAAAATATTCTCTAAAAATGCTCAATATTGTATGCATGTTTTGAAAAAAACCCACATTTTAATCACATGCAAAAGTGACAGACTACAGATACCATTAAAAGCTGTCATTTTCTTTTATAGAATTTGCAGTTATTTTTACCAGAATTAGAAATACAGTATGTCATTTTAATTCAATTTTTTTTCTAAAAATTAAAATTACTGTTCTTGAACTTTTTTTTTTTTTTTGGCTAAGAAAATAATTTGCAAAGTAACGATGAATTGGAGTAATTTAATTTTAGGATAAAATCCAGCCAGTTTTACTTCTTTGAAGTGATTACTGCTTTATCTTAATGGATTCATGTATTTGTCAGGGAACATGCATTTAATGATCACTGCTTGCAGAGTGGGACTATTCTACTTTTGGAATGCTTCCAGGAATTAGTGCAATTTCCTTACTTCCTATGGGTACCATGCTGGGTTTTTTCCCATGTTGATTTTTTTTTTACCACTTCTAAAGAACACAAAGCTTTAAAGTTTCTGTGTCACCTTTCAATCTGAGAATACTGTCTCAACATTTATTATTGATAAATGTCATTTTTGTGGATTAAATGTCTCAAAGCATCCTGTGCATTTTTTTGCTTGTCCTAAAATGATTGACTGAATATTATTTTTCTTTGAAGTTCAGTTATTTATGAAAAACCTCTGAGACTCAGTTGCATTGAAATTTCCAGGCAGGAACTTGGAATTCTCATAGTGTTTTCAATCTTAGGCAATCAGTGACAATCAACACATTAATGGAATATAGAAGCACAGAACTTGTACTCGGTATTTGTAGTTTAATCACATTTTCAACCACTCTTGTCTTTTTAGTCAGCAATTAGAAGTGTTGCCAAATCCTATAGATACCTGTTCCACTCATACTTGTCTTAGTGAATGTTAAATTGCATGCATAGTATAGAGTGGTGTCTTTAAAACTCATTAACAAGTCATTAATTTCTCTCCTTTTGAATGCACAAGGAATGAAAATATCAAATCATCTTGATGGATATACAGTAAACTCGGCAATATAATACTTTAATATTAGATCTTAGAATGCTGATTTTGACCTTTTCAAAACTTATATTAATGCATAGTTAAATTTTGTATGAAAAAAAACCCTGAAAGTTCTCAAGAGAAATCTGTACAATTTCTTCATCTATACTATGCTTACTTCTTTCATCCTAGGTACATTAAGTGTTCTGGTAAAATACCAGCTCTTAGATTTCCCTTTTTTAAAATCCTGCTCCCTAGTAAGGCATACTATCCAAGCTGGGAGAAGGGCACATAATAAACATAATGTTCCATTGAAGAGCAATTTATTTCTCATATGATACCTGCTATGAAGTACAAAGATTTAATTTTTTTTTAATTGGTGAGTGCTGTAGCACAGCTGTATTGTGCTTTCAGATAAAAGCAGATAGATTGTTTTACAATTGTTTGTAAATAATAAAGTACCAAATCAGGATTGAGTTTAGACTGGTTTTGCCTGCTGTCTTTGGAAGAGGAGAGAACGTCTACCTGCACAGTATTATTTGTAATTTCTGAATGGCCATTCTTGTGCTGGGAACAGTCTTGAGCCTCAGTCCTGTTCCAAGGGCTTGGTCCTGTTTATTGTCAGGCAGGCACAGCCCTAAGGGGCTTTGCTTGGCAAAGTACGAGCTGAGTTACGTGTGATACTTACGTGTGCTCAGTACTTCCACGAAACAGAATTCCTTAGCTATTTCAAAGTCACACATATTTGTATGTATATTTTTATCTCACTTTTATAAAGCGATCAAACAGTTTGGTGTCTTTGCCACTCTCTTTTTGGACCCTCATCTGGGTGTTCATATTTCACTGTTATTACAAATCCTCTCCCTAGTTTCATATCTTTTCCTTGGTTATTCACTAAGAACTAATTGCACATCTTCCACCAATCTCAGCTTCATTAGGATATTTAAACTTCTGTAACCATATTATTTATCAGTTGTAGCAGCTATTTGGACTGTTGCTTTAGCAAAATGTTTTCAGCAAAAGTGTTTATTAGTATACATATATTATGTGAGTATGTTCTGATCAGCGCTTTGGTGGGAACTACAACAGATTTCTGCACAAACAAAAGTTCATCTCTGCTCAAAGGTCACTTCACAGTTCTGTTTGCTTTGCTCTTTCAGATGGATGTGAAAATCATTTCTAGCAGATGTATTGCAGTGGTTATGATTTTAGTGTGCCTGTATTTTCTGAAAATGTCTGTCCTGGATGTTTTTGGTCTCCTTTAGTTTTTACAGATTTTAACAGTATGCTGTGTTTATAGTCTCCTAGTGTAATATCTAGATTCCACATATATCCAGGTTATTAAATTCATAGTCTTAAGGTCATTTGGACTTTACAAAGGAAAAGTACAAGAAAATAAATTACACATTTCAGTATCTTCTAGATACATAATTATAAG